TCAACTTTGTCTCTGTTTCAACCAACCAGCTGCATCCACCACCCAAGGATCTCTCAGTGTCTGGCGGAGATAGAGACCTACATGATATCCAGTGTTTATGCTCAATATGGAAAAGATGAAGGTGATACCAATTAGCAAGCAGAATCATTCTGTTGAACTGAAAACTATTAGTGGTTTTTTTTTAAGTAGCTATATGATAATCTGTTGTCAAACTAATTCACACACTAAATATTATGCTATTCTTATTCTCATCTGATTGGATTAAGCAAAAGGTAGATTTTTTTGCCTGAATAGGAGATGAAGCCCTTTCCTCCCATCTATAGATTTCACTAGACGTATATAGTGGCATAATGTGAAAGTTGCACAATACACCTGACTTGGGACTAACTTTAAAGGCCAGGTAGGTTCAGGTACTGCTGAACAGGCTTATGAGGACAATAGTCTGACCATAAAGTTAAAAAAGTTACATAAAGATAACAAACAGGCAAGAGTATAGTCCCAAGGGAAGACAAGTCACTTGAAGTGATTATCTCAGTCAGAACTCATGCCTCACCCTTCAACAACCTTATCTAGCACACTTCAGAGTAAAAGTTAAATTCTTTGTCTCTACCATGTTTGACAGTGGATAGTTAATGCACAGTCATTATTCTTTGGTAAAAATATCTATGTCAAGGAAGACATAGGTCCTAGGTTTGGCAACGCTTATGGGACTTTTGTAGAGGAAAGGCAAAATACTCATTAGTATTTTTAATGGCCCAGCTACTTCAGGGACTGTCTTCTTCACTAACCAACTTCAAGAGCTCAACTTCAGAAATAATAACCTGACTGCCACAAGGCCTGAGGAGGCCATGGTAGGCATTCACGACAGCAAGACTTTGCCAGTGAAACCTGTTCCAAATTTCTAAGATGGAAGCCAAAATGAGATTTGCTCACTATACTTGGAAAGGGGTTTTGCTTGTATTCTAAGCAAATAAAAGACACTATAAAATAATAAATGGTAATTAATTATATGAATACTAAGTCACACCTCAGAAGCCCCATCGTTTTGCAATCAAGGGAGCTGAAAGCTGAACAGCAAAGTTCCAATGTCAGCACCTACCTCCCTACAACCTCCTCTACAGCTGCAGTATTCCATAAATAGATGTACATTTCTCCTGTCCCACAAGGTGGGATAAGGCTAGAGAGAAGGCAGGAAAAACTGAAACAGCTATTTTTTGTTACTGAGTGATCTGTAACCAGCTGAAAGAAAGACTATAGTTAAGGCACTAAAATTACTTCAATTTCTAGTGCCACAACAGTATTCCTCTACAGCAATCAGTTAGACCCAATTTCTTTCAAATTAAGTTCCTAATACCTCTGAAGAGCTGCACCCTAATGTTTTAATGCCTCGATTTGTCATCTGTAAAATGGGAATAAAAGCACCTCCTTACTTCACAAGAGTGCTGTGAGGAGAGAGAGACAGTAAACCTTGTGAGGCACTGGAATACTGTGATAAAGGTATATAAGCATTATGTCATAGGCAGACAGACAAGCTCTTTTAATATTTGGGTTCTGTCTCCTCTGAAAGCTCAGGGGCAACATGTGGTCTCTTCTGTTCAGCTGGATATCTGAGAAACTGCTATGCTATAGGTTTATCTTTTCACTCAGGCATCTGTACTGGGATAGGGATTACAAGGAATAAGGAATTAGTGGAGCAGGAGGGAAACTTGAGCTTCTGACTTGCCTCCACTGGTAGTAATGAGTTATATGAAATTACTGCACTTTATAACTGGTTCTAAGTAATGTTCAGAGTACTTGTAGCATGTGGGAAAACATACAAGTGAAATCCTGGTTTGCGTTAAGTTAATGTGAGTTTTACCATTGACTTTACCCCAGAATTTTTATATTAGTAGAGTTCTTGAAAGACAACTCTGAGATTGAGCCAGAAAGCCACAGGAATAGACTTTGCCCTTTCAAAAATGACATGGCTACTAAGAACCTTCCAACTCCTTCAGCACAAAAGCTCATTCTGAGACTCCAGCAGGGATGCTGATGCCTTTCCTAATTTTCTGTGAGCATTTGAATGTTCACAGAAAAGCCCCCAACTGACCAGCTTTAGAGCCAAAATCCTGATCCCTGTGCAAAGCCAACCTGAACAAGATTAGGTAATGTGGCTGGACCTGTCATTTCATAGGGTGATAACAGAAAAGCTCAGGGAAGCACTGGCTGTGTGATCACAAGGTGTCCAAGGGGCTGCTGCAGGCCAGTGAAATGACATTTTACAAGGTTATTGGTATCACAACCTACCAGACACAATGGAGAAACAATAAACTCAGTCAGACTTTCATTTTGATCTGGTGCAGTCTAGAAAGGGCTTCAATACCAGTCTGATGGACTGCCTAGATAGCATCAAGTGAGCAGGAATTAATCATTTGCTGAGTGAGGAGTATCTCTACACTCACATGTGTAAGTAGCAATTTGTTCCTAACGAAACCCAGGTTTTTCCTCACAGCAATCTTGTTTGGGCTTGGAAATGTTATGAGAGGTGATTGCTGAACAGAGATCCTGGCTAAACACAATTTCAATATTTCCAACCTCTAGTTGCTTGCAATATATCCAACTTCCCCACAGTTTTGTTTTTTCTAAATTAAAGGGTTTGCAGTATTTTGAGGTTGTACACAGGGGGTGGTTTAGGGTTTGTGTGGGAGTTGGTATTAAGCTGGCACCAGGAATTAGAAACTCCTTTTGGACTTTATGTTGCCACACAGCATTTAATTACCGTACTTCACTCATTGCGGCTGTTTATTGCACAAACAGAACCTGCACCTGCACCTGCCCTGAAAATCCTAGGTTTGAGACCAAAATGACTAAAAATGTGCTAGGCGTTTGTGGCATCTGTGGCTTGGACTAGATTGGGGTGGCCAACCTGCCACAAGTTCCAGGAGAGGCACAAGCAGAAGAAGAGCAGCAGATCCAGGAGGGGTAGATGATTCAAGTGGCACTTAAGGAGGATGCAGGGCTAATCTGTGGCATGCCTGGACTCGACGAGGTCCCTGCTGCCCCTACAGATGCAGACACAATGCACTGCTGCTGCCTCAGAAGTCATGGGGAAGCGCTCCCTGGTTTTAGCTCCCTTCCTGCTTGCCCAGTCCCTAATGCTGACGTTTAAGAGAAAGACTTGGAAAGCCAGAGGTGAAAGCCCCTGAAGGTCAGTCTGGTAACCCTGCCAGCTGTGACACAGGTCTTTCTCCTCCAGTGCTCACTATAAGTCTCCTTTCCCAGGGCCTCACCTCCCTAGAAGACGGTGCCGGATAGTAAAACATGCAAGCACCCGTTAGGCCTCCTTCCTCTTGAGTCTCGAGGGGAGGGAAAGTTTGGAAAGATGCCCCAGGGCTGTGAGGTTAAACCAATGCGCTGCTGAAGGTGGCTATCTGGTGCTGACCTCTCTGCTTAGTGCCCCATGCACTCAAGGGCGCTGCGCCTGCTCCCTCTGCGCTGCCACAAGCCTCGGGCTCCTCTCCTCGAAATGCCTGTCAGCGGCCAGGCGGCTCTGGCTACACAGCAGCTCGCTTTGTCCCTGGAGGCGAGGAGCTGCGCGGGGCGGGCAGGCCGCAGCCCGGGGGCACGGGGCCAGCGAGGTGACCCCGCTCCTCCCTCACGCAGGCTGAAGGCGGCGGCGGCGGCGGGCCGGACGCGGCGGGGCAAGCCT